AGGCTAGCATCAAAATCAACTTCACTGTATCGATCGTGTTAGAACTAACTATGGTAAATTTAGTTTGCACTTCTCTGGTCGTTCTATTTTGAATAATTTGAATAACCCCGGTGGAGAATAACAGGAGCCAGTCATGGTCTGCATAGCTTGAAAAGTATAGCCTAAATTTTTCAAGTTCCTGGTTTGAAATCCGAGTTAACCTTCTCCATCTTTAACCATCCTTTTTCCTTTATGGTTTATTATTAACTCTTTGGTGTTTTTCTATCTTAGTAAAGTACAATTTTCAGGTTTCCTTCAATTTAAAGGAAATTTTTTCATTGCCAAATTAACTCGTAATACCGTGACTGAGGTCATTTTGGAGAGGCGTAAGATGTTCGACCTTGCAAACTTCTGTACAAACTCTCTGGTTTAGCTACTGACGCCCTACTGATCTACGTTCTTGTTTCTGACTGGACGCTGCAAGTAAATTCAACACTTACCTGTCAGCGATATACAGGCAGGAACCAGAGGCACTCGGAGCAGCGGACCATTTGCGTTGATTCATAGTTTCCTGATGAGTTCAAACAAACCTTGATCAAAATGTTGAAATGTTTACTGTTGGAAATAAGGCCCATTCCACACTACGCCGCAGAAATTTGAAAACGCAGCTTTATTTCTACGGTTAGGCCTACCGTCCACACTTAATCCGTCACGAAAACGCAGCTTTATTTCTACGGTTAGGCCTACCGTCCACACTTAATCCGTCACGAAAATGGAGCTTTTCGAGAATGCTCTTCAAACCGGAGGAATTTGAAAACGCTGGCTTTGCGTTTTAGTGTGGAAGGAAAACATTTTTTTTGAAAATATCGTAAATGAAACAAGACTTCAGAAAAGGAAGAGAGAAAACGTTTTTGCTCTCCAACAGTGTATATACGGGTATCAATGGCAAGAACATGATACCGGATGAACGTGCAGCGTTCAAAGTAAGCAAATTCTTTCCGCAATGCTTACTAGCAAAATAAAATTCTCCACACATAAACCAACCATAAACAATTGTATTAATGACGTGAATCAACGTTTAAAACGAGAAGAAATCACTCGGATTCTCGTGCCAAACACTCTTGAGTTTTCCTCCGCTTGATTTTTCGCTCGTGCCATAGAAAAAATGGAGTCTAACTTACTTACATGCATCATTTACGTTTATGTTACGGTACTTCAAGCTAGGAAACCAAATGCTCACCTTTTCGCCTGGGGCCCGAAGAATGCCATTAGACAACACTATTGTATTCTCCTTCTGTAAAAGTGTGGGGTTTTTTTAGAAAAAAAGAAACTCAATTGAAATTTAAATAATTATTAGTAATTCTATTAGTCAATCACTAATTAGTAAAACTCAGAAATCTTTGTGATAAAGCATGGGTGTCCGTCTTTGCCATGACTCGCCTTGCACGATTTCTTTTCAGCAGTTTTCGCTGCACAGGAAACAAAAACAAAATAGTTCGTTCCTAAACTTATCCTACTCTTTGTAAGTTCTTCATTTGTAATACTTGTTAATTTTCACTATCATAGATGTGGTCTATGTACAAAATTGCGAATTTTGTCCTTTTTTCTAACCTTATAAATCACATGATTCTACATTTTTAGAATTTCAATATATTGATATCAAGGCTTGATCTTACCTCACTGGAGACTGGTATTGGAAGGCTAGCAGTGTAATTAAACTGCTGAGCCATTTGAATCTGCCATGAGTCTGGTACAGAAAACGCGCTATCCACATGGACACTCAACAGATTGCTGTCAATAAACACACACAAAAACCTTTTGAGTTTTCCATGTGTACAGTGGAAGTGGTATGTACTCAGGGCTCAAAAAAAGTGCCATCCCATTACCCTGGACAAGTAGATTTTCCTTCTAGGCAAGTAACTTTACATTCTCACATGCCCAATGGGCAAGAGACCAAGCAAGTCATGCGCCAACTAAATCATTAAAAGGGCAAACTAAGACTTGCCATGGGTAAGCAAAATTTGAGAGATACTTGTCCCAAGGGCAAGTTGGAATTCAATTTTTTTTTGAGCCCTGGTACTAAACATATAATTTACAAAGCAGATCACAGCTGTTGACAGCCAAGTGCTGGTTTTTAATTTAAGCTTGGAGAACAATGTGGCTAGCAACAGTAGGTTGCAAGTAAAATTCTCTTGACAGACAAAACACTTTTGTTACTTCAAATAACACTGAATTTTTACAAAGTTACCTGTTATTCAGCTGAGTTTCTGTCAGAAGAGGCTGGGCTACAGACACTTGCACCTCAATTTCTGGCTAAAATCATGTAAAGAAACGAATTGAATAAAGACAAATATTTAAAGTAAACATACAAATTTTTTTTTTTTTTTTTTTGCAATTAAATTTGGGGTAAGTTCTGGACGCCAGAGAAGACAAACTACAGTTTGAAAGTAACTATAGTGGGGTGCCCACAGATACTGTATTTAGGCCACAATCTACCTTGTGCCGCACTTACCAGAATTTGTTCTGTGGTTGCGGTTTCAGGTGGTACAATGACTGGGTGCACAGACTGCATAACACTGAACTTGGTTTCTCCTTTAAAAAACAAAAAGACCAGCAAGTAAAAAAAAAAAACAGTGTTCTCGTATAAGAGAACATCAGGAGCAAACCAAAGGAGACATGGGAAATTGAGTGGTGGAGTGAGAGACACTAGAGCAAAGTTGGAGTTAGTCAGGCAAGTTACAGGACGGTGCCAGTAGCAATTCTTTGTATTTTGGTGGCAGCAAAAAGGACTGAAATGTCTAGACCAAAAGCAAGTGCCAAAATGATCAATGTATGATACACAGTACATGTATTTCTCTTGTTTACATACCAAACTGGTATGACTGCAACACTACAATAATGAGTTAAATAATGCTACTTTGAATTGATTGCTCACCATGAAGTAGAGGCAGTAAATCAACACAGGATTGACCCAAAATATTTATTTTCTCCTCTTTTCCTTTCTTGTCCTTTGGTAGGACCTCAACAACAGTGACTGTAAGAAGTGGTAAAAAGCAGTAACAATAATACAGGGAGTAAATAAGTAATTACAGCTATTAACAATAATCGTACCAGAATAGTCTTATAAAGTGACTTTATTGCCATACAATTCTTTACCACCACGCAAAATTAAGGGTGTTTCTAACAGGTTGTATTGTTGCTATGGTAACCTATTACGCCATGAAGATTACCATTCTTGGTTTACCAATGGCTGGGCATTTGTGTGATACCAATATCGTGGCATCACATGATAAAGAGTGGTAGTATTGATCCTTCAAAGTATAGCTGTTGGGAAAGGGCTGGTTACTATTGCCAGCTGCCTTAATCTCAGATATGCCTCTCAAACACGAAAAAAATGTGACTGTGTGAAGAGACATTTGACTCACCTCAGGCTAGCTGTACAAAAAACTAAAATTATAAAATTATTATATGTAATGGAGCCTTTTTTGGCATGCTTTGATGGTATATCAGGTAAGTTTGGTCTACGCAACATACCCATGGTGAGACCAAAATTAATTTTATGCCACCAAAAACAACCATTAGTCCCCGCCATATGAGTGTTTACTGAACTTTGACCATATATTTCATCCTATGAGGTCTTATTTGATTTTGCAGGATATCAGAATAGCAGACAAGGCTTCTGATTGGCTAATAATTTATAAATTTAGGTGTGATTACCTGTTAAATATCAAAATTAAACAAACACTAACCTATAACAGGTTTATATGATATAGAATCCAAGGAAGAAGCGTCTTCAAAAGTACAATCAAATGAAGCATTGAAATTGTACTCTGTGCTGTGAGTGTCTGTGTTGGCTTCAACTTTGGGTGATTCTCCAAGCAGATTAGCTCCAAACTCGAGCCTTACCATGGAGTTTAGAGAATCGCCTTTTGAGCCTTTCTGTGAAATTAATAAAAAGAAATCTGATGAGCAACTTATTTTCAAGTCTTAGCATGTACAAAGCATGTAAAGAAAACCAATTTTTAGGCTTTCTTTAAGGTAAGCTGTAACCATAATGTGCTTGCAAGCACAAAATTCATTCCTACTAGCTCCCCCCCCCAAAAAAAATTCTTACTGGCACAATTACTAAATAACGAAGCCTACAAAGTCTAAAAATAGAATACAAATTATTGGAACCCCGCGAGAGTCAGCCAACATAAGCGTGTTCTGAGAGAAATAGGAAGAAAATGAACGTCAAATTTTCGTTTTAAAAATTGTCTTAGGAACACTAGCTTACGCACTTGAAAAAGCGTCCAATCTTTCACCATTCCGTCTTGTTTGTCTGAATTATGACGTCACTCACGCGCTTCGCTATTAATCTACAAAATTAACTGTCTAATACAATACTTTCACCTCTCACTGAACTTCTGTAATTTGAATTTTCTCAAAGTTCTTTCTCTAAAAAGTCAAATCACACAAACAGGGGCTTCATTAACATTTTCATCAAGAAGCCAACTGGTTTTTGCAGGCGGGGAAAGCTTTTTGAACAGAACTTCTTTATAAGAAAACCTTTCCTCTAGATGGTCAAACCAGGCGAACAAAATCAACATTGCAGACAGTCAATTTGGGTGGTGCCTGACCCTTGATCATAGACAGTTGCCACAAACATCACTTTGTTAAAAATTCCCTATCTTTTCCCTGATAAAAATAAAATTTCCCTGATCATATAAATACGAAATGGCAGAATGGCAGATATACTAGAGGCTTCAAGCTTCCCCTTACTACTGTCCTTTCAACTCATTTATCAAGACCAATACGTTTTCAACAAATGTTCCTTCTTCATCAAGGAAAAATTATTGTTGAGATCGCAGTGACCCCAAATGTTTCTTCCAGCCTTCAATGGTATTAAATCTGCCGAGTTAAAATTATTTCAATTTTTTCTGACTTTTAATACTTTAAAATCTCAACTTTCCCTGACTCAGAATAAAATTCCCTAACTTTTCCTTGACCTCGAAGAATTTCTTTTTTCCCTGAACATTTTCTGATCTGTGGCAACCCTGTTAATGAAACTCCTGCACAAGCAACTTAGTATAGAAATCCACTAGCCCGGACTATTGGACATGACATTCTGTCAGCAGAGAGAAGTCGGCGACCACCAGCACAGAGCCTTACACACAGGCGTTCTAGTCAAAAAGAGTAGTTGTGCTGCCACTTCAACAGCACAATTAGCTATTACTAAAATAACTCAGTAAGTATATGATAGTACGATTAATGTTGATATGTACATGTATGCATTAAAACTCAGGTAACACTGCACTGTAACAGTCCCAGAACAAGGCTGTCCCAGGTTGCAGATTGCAGTGCAACTGGTATTTCAAATTACTGAACAGTAATAACTTGTAATAATAAATACCTTTGTGACCTAAGCTTATTGGTTAAACTCACGATCGATAATCTTCATGCAACATAATTTCATCGACAAAGAAAAAGGCAATGTACATGTACATAAGCTTGAGATTCTGCAAGTCATCTATGAATACCACGAAAATGATTTCATTAAAATAAAAACGACAAGTATGTGTTTAGAAATTAAATTGTAAGCTTACTTGTAACCTAACCCAAGCCGATCGCCAGGAGTAAGCTAATAAATAAAATGAAATTGTATGATCTAGTCATTTTTGCAAGTTCGCTTACCAGATTTCTACACCGCACCACCGT